TTTTTTTTTTTTTTTTTTTTTTTTTTAATTTCTCTTTCCCCTTTTTTATTTTTTTAAAAACTTAAGCCTTTGTGGAGGCTCCCGGTGCTGGCGGGGCTGCGTGGCGGGGGGGTGCAGGGTGCCTGGGTGCTTGCGAGGGATGGGGAGCGGGCGGTGGGAGGACATTGCTGCTCACTTCAACCCAGCTGGTCCCCTCCAACCCCCCGTGGGGGCAGGGAGGTGGAAAGCCCCTCAAAAAAAACCTGCCGAGCCTGCTGGCACATTCCTTAGGCCCCCAAGTCCTGGGTAAGTGGCCCTAATTATTAAAATCAGCAGTCCTTATCAGATGACAAGGCCTTTTGCTTTGATATACAAAGGCTGAGGCTTAACAACCCCATCTTCCCCTGGAAGAGGAACAAAATGTGCACCTTAACATGCGGCTTTCAAACCTCCCTGCATAATCCCCTTATCGCCTGCTGAAGATATGTATATTGATCCCAGATATGTATATTGATCCCGGCTGGGAAGTTGGGAGGTAGCGGGCAGGGGGATGCCCAGGTTCCCCCCTCCATGTAGTGACCTCTCCATGCTCCATCACAGCCCACGTCGCTCGCCCATGAATTTTTCACGCGACCGCTCTTGGGTACTGAACTCAAACATCCAGGCTGGGCTTTGGGTTTGCTTCTCCAAGGGAAGCCAAGGGTGTTAGTATCGGTAACCCACGTACCCGTTGATAAAACCTGCTGCTCCTGTCCTCACAGCCCCCATCCTTCCTCCTCCCCACCCAACTCCATGCGCAAAACCATAAGTTGAACAAGTAGGGGGTCCTCCTAAAAACTGGGCCTTTTTATTGCGTGGTTTTATAATACCAGGAAGATGGGACCCATCCTTGGCAGGCCAAGCCTGAACCTGAGCAGATTTCAGCCCTGTCCATGCCTCCTCTGATGCTTGGTGATCCTGCTCCTGTAGTTTCAGGCAGTTCTCTTGTTTCGGGCAACACGGACACTGTAACTTGTATTCCCACAGGGGCCCTAACTCCTGTCTTCAGGGTAGACTTAAAGCATTTATTAGCTGGTGCCTCAGTGGCTTTCAGTGGGACTTGAGCTATGAACTTCTTGATCTTTTGCCTGCTGATGCCAACAGCGAAGCTCCTGCTGACCTCAGCAGTGCAGCGCCAGGCTTTAAGGACCAAGTTTTTGAAGGTATCAAAGTGCGTAGAGGTGCTTCCTGGGATTTTCTTAAGCGCCCTTCCAATGCTAAAAGCAACATCCTTGAAGTTGGACATTGGGTGTGTTCAGACAGAGCGCGTCCTGGCTGCTGCTGGTCCAAGTGATGGGTGGTTAGTTGCTTCTAAGGAGGTTGAGCAGCCGGTGTGCATGGTTCCCATAAGGAGAGCGCTACCACAGAACTTGTGTGGTTTTCTCTAGCCCAGGACTGGCTGGTAACTGGATTCCTGTTTTGCTTGTCCTTAGGTCCTTCAAGAGGAATGATCCCGTTAACCCATACCATGTGAATTCTGGCTATGTGTTTGCCCCAGCAACCAGCGCGAACGATAGCGAAATATCTAGCGATGCCCTGACGGACGACTCCATGTCGATGACGGACAGCAGCGTGTGAGTATCTTGCGTTGGCCGGCTCTTTTTGGGATGTGTCATCTGTGAATCAGCTGCACCGATGGCACCCTGGGGGCTTATGGGAGCGATGGCTCCAGGGTCATCACCCTGCTTCTGCTTGCCGTTGAGGAGGGGCTGCCGAAATCGGGGTGTGCGCCCAAAGCCAGAGGTGTAGCAGGGCATGGTAGCCTCCTTCTTCATGCAGTCGCCGGAGGTATCGGATGGAGTAAAATAATGAATCCCTCTATGGCTGTTTTGCAACTGCAGCTGAGCAAACGTGTTTTCCCCAATGCTAATGGTGCTGCCTGACTAACGCGCGGAGCGTATCTCCCTGAGCCTTTGTCTTAAGGCCAGGCTTCCTTAACTAGTTATCAGTCATCAAAGAGGAGGAGATTACTTCCTGTAGGAAGCACTTTCTGTAATTAAGGTTCGTCATTAATGTCAGAGCGTACATTAATAGGGCCAGTGACCTGAAGGGGCGAATAGCTGCTCATCTAGTGTGGCTGGGGCGGTCTTCAAAGAGCCATGTGAATGGGGCTGCATGGATCAGGTCTGGGTGTTTCAGGAGGGTAGGGATGAGGGAGGATGCTGTGGCCGAGCCAAGGGATTGCAGGACCTGGCTGTTCCTCCTGGCTCTGCTGAGATGCGTGCCACCAGGAGCAAGCGTTGGACCGTTCTTCCTCAGTTTGCTTTCCCCAGCAGGAGAGAAATGGGGGCCTGGGGGTAGAGGAGGTGGTAGGACTCACTTAGTGCTCCTTAGGACCATTTTCTTCAACCAGGTAGAAGGCAGGTGTTGCCGTTTGTGTTTCATGATCTTCACTGAAGTACAAGTGCCCTAGAAAAGCCCACCTGTAAATGGAGTGCTGTGTTCTTGGGCTTCGTCTCGTAGGCAAAGCTTCTCCAGTGTCCAGGTGTGTCCAGTGATTGCTGCCTACTCCTCCGAGAGGTTTGTATGCTGGGTTTTTAAAGTCAACAGCGCTGCGTGATGATGCACAACGGAAAATGGGATTTACCAAAAATCCATGATGTGTAAACAAAAGCGTTGCTTTTTTTTTTATGCACATGGTGTATTTTGAACAGATATGACGGGAAAAAAAAAATAGTTTGTTGTCCCACCAGATTCCCTTATTGAACAATATTGGCATTAAATAAAAGAGCTGAATCATAGGGTGACTTCTTTATTTCTTCTTGCTGGCTCTGGTTGTATGTGCTCATGTGTCAACAGAGCATTCATGGGGTTAGTCATTTCTGGACCAGTGTAGGGTCACTTGGGATTCACAGGGCTAGGATTATACCCTCTCTTCACAGCAATGCCAATTGTAGGCCTTATACAGATGAGAGCACTGAGTGAGAAATAAAGTGCATGGTGGATGAAAGGCTTAACTGAATCGCTTTCAGCCCATTGTTAGGCCAGGGGAGCTTAGCGGGGATGAGAGGGCAGCAGCCCGCTTTGAAATTTGCTTGAACAAGTGAATAGGAGCTCCCCATAAAGCAGCGCCTGAAAGGAGCCTGCCTGTTTTTTCCTGCCGTAACAATGGCCCGCGCAGGCTGTGAGAGTTTGGGGAAGCTTGGCTGATTAAACTGCCCGCAGCTCCAGGTTGGGGGGCGGCGAGGGCCGGGAGCAGGCAGGGGCGCTGGGGATGTCGGGGTGGTTTTGGAAGCGGGAGAGGTAAATTTTGGCACTTTTGGAGGCTGGGCTTAAAGTTAAGGCTGATGTAAAACTTCCTTTTACTGCCAAGATGGCAGTAAATCCTGCGGGATCCACAGCCTCTCCGGGCACCGGGCTCTGCCGGTCGCTGGTGATGCTGTACGGGGCTGTGGGGCACAAACCCATCGCGCTTCCACAGCCCGAGCCCAGCTCCGAGGTTTTTCCCCCCCCTGTAGCAGCAGACCCAGGTTTATTCCGTTTCGTCAGTGCGAATGCAAATTAGTTCTTTTGGCTCATATTGGTATCAATTGAAGAGGAAAAACTTGTTCTGGAAAAGTCTGTCAGATGTAGCAGTAAAGTGAGTGGTGGGGTTTGTTTTTTTTTTTTTAAAATATGTCTAAATCTGAACTGCACTGGGATTAGGAGAGGTCTCCAAATAATCCTTAATCTGCCCTTTTTCTTTTTTTTTATTATAGATGCCAGGGATCAGTCTGTCCGTATATATTTTGTAATAGCCGCAAAGCATCATGCAAATTTGTATTTCCATTTCTGGGGGGGGGAGGAAAGGGGATTTTTTTTTTTTTTTTATTTGCTTATATCTTATTTATGGATTTACTTTGGACACAGGGGAATGCTGCTGAGCAAACTTCAAATATTACCTTATCTTACAAACCAGGCTTTTGATGTTGGCAAGATCAGAGGCTTGTTTCAGAGCCGTTGCCAAATGAAGATGGGAGTGAATGCATATGCGCATGAGTCTGATATTTCAAAGCAGCAGTAAAACTACATTCAGGTTAGGTCAGGCACATCTGAGTCAAAAGGCTAAGATAATTGGCTCAGCTTAAATGGCAGCTGACTTGGTAGAAGACTTCAAACTAGTGTTTCCCCCAGAAACAGATTGGCTTAGCCCCAGCCTGGTTAGCTGAAATGTTTATCATTAAACTCTACTATTTGGTGGCCAAACTCCGCAGCTCTTCAGCCCGCAGCTTTTAGTAGCCAAGAAAGTGAGTGCGAACATTTTGCTGCTGGAGCAAGGGGAGAGGTGGCACCTGGAGAGCTGGGCTTAACCCTCGTCCTGCCCCGAAACCTCAGGCCAAGCTCAGCCTTTTCCTTGCAAAGGCGCTTTCTCCTGGCCAGGGGAGTCTGCTTCAGCATCAGGGTCGTGTCCCCCCCCAGATCTCTTGCTGTACAGAGCCTGGCTGCAGCTCCACCCGCCCGTCCCTCTGCAGTCGGGGATCACCCTTGCTCACCCCTTCATCCCTGGCGTTCGTTTTCCCCCCATTTTATACGGAGGGCCTAGGTTTAGGCGGCGCTGATCAAAGTGGCTGCCAAAGTCCCTCCCCGTTCCCCAGGCTGACTTTCCCGCGCTGCTCCACAGCCTTCCCACCTCACTGAAATACCTCTTTTTTTTTTTTTTTTTTTTTTTAAATCTTTTTTTAATTCTGCACGTTCTTACAAGTTGTAAAACTCTTCTGGCGAGGCGGGGCTGTAGAAGCAGGGAGCAGGAGGTTTGATGTGGGGTTCTCTTCTGCAGCTGGAGGGGGAAGGAACAGCATTCGTAGTGACGTGAACGAGGGCAAATCTCAAATATAGTGAGGAGCCGCGCTGTTGGGTCAGCGTTGTTTTTCCTCCTCCTTTTTGAGCCACGCAGCCTGGGAACGGTGCGAGTGCCTTGTCTGTAGCCTGTCCCAGCACTGTCCCTTTGGCCAGAGATGTCCCCCAGGGCTGGGACACCCCGCAAGGAGATGTTCTCCCCGCTCGGTGGCCGCAGCAGAGGGGTTGGGGACGGCATCTCATGCTTGCAGACCTGGAGGGAGGTGGGAAGCGGAGGAAGGCTACAGGGCTCCCCGTTGTCCCTTGGTCATGTCCTTGGGTGCCTCGTGTTGAACGCACAGACCTTCAGCTCTTTCCCCGCTATTCCCCATCTGGATTCTTGGACTGCCATTTACAGAGGACACCTCCTCTTTCGTGGAATATGTTAATGGGATTAGTTCCGTAGGTACATATGCATGTAAGGTGCTCATGCTGATATTTTTACTTGCCTTTAAAATGCCTATTTTACTGGTTATTCCCTATATTGAAGGTCTTCCCTAAGAGACCCTTATCTCAGTAAGCCTCAGTATAACAAATACTTCTCTGAAGGTACAGGTGATTTGGTTTTCACCTTAGATTTGCTTTTCCGCCATCTTCCCCCGAAGCTAAGGTATATCCTGTGTCCCAAGCCCTGTTGCCCCATGGGTTTGTGAAGCAGAAATGCTTGGTGGCCACCAGCGCTGCAGTTGCTGGCCATGGCCGGTTGTGACGGCCAGTGCTGCTTCCTCAGAAAGTGCCACAGAGCCCTGTGTTGTGCTATGGGGACATTAGGACAATTAGCTCCTTTCACTTTTAATGTTACACGCATTCATGGGCCATGTCTAGAGGAGGCTGATGTTCATCTGGTGGTGGCATCAAGGACTTTCTCTGCAGTCCCAGCATGCTCTCCTTTATTATAAAGATTTTTCCAAGTTTTTTAAGATGAAGTTGTTCTGGTCTTTCACTCTGGGCTTTTCGGCTTAATCTTGCTCATTAAAACAGTTCAATGGCAACTGAACGCTTTGGCCAAGATCTTCGCAAAAGCCCATGATAGCGTGCTTCAAACCTTGAGTGTGGAGCGATGGCATCTAATCATCCTCCTCAAGAGGAGGGACCCAGCGTCCCTGGGAAGGCATTCCCTTGTGCCTTATCTCCAGCCATGTGTCCAAAACACGTCAGTGTGTGCCCATCTCTGCCGTGGCCACGGGAGGTGGCAGGTGGGGACGCCGTGCCATGCCAGCTCCCCGGCCGCCGCCGCTCCCCCGGGGGCAGGAGCTATTTTCTCCTCTCAGGAGATGAGTCAGGTGTGGGGGCAGGTGGATGAAAGGGATGGGACCGGAGATCAAGGTTATTCAGCCAGTCTTAGGGAAGGGGTGGAATTAGACATTCAGGATCTCCAGGCATGCTCTTCCGGCTGTCTCTGCTGTCTGTAGAAGTCCCTTTAATCCTAACTGAAGGTAATTTTTTTTGTGTGGCCAGATGAAAACACCCTGTGTTGCCTCGGGCGGGCTGTGCAGGGGGCTGTTCCCACTGGTGCTCCTCACCTGGTCTCTTCTCATGGCTCCCTGGCCATGGGCTGGCGTGGCCAAGGAGAGCAACATCATGGCCAGAGGGTATGTCCCGGCTTTGCTCATGCCTCGCGGTGGCGTGCCTGTGCCGGCCAGCCTCAGGGCAGGAGAACCATCCTGGATCTTAAGTAGAGCTAGAGACAGGGAGCAGCCTTCTGGTGGCCATCCACCTTCAGCCTCTTCCTTCTTGTTTCCACCATGCCAACACTCCATGGGGTATTCCAGAGCTTGAGGGAAGTTGTGGTCTCTGAGAGTGTAATTCGATGGTGAAAAAGCAACAAAAATAAAAGGCAGAAGCAGAAACCTAGCACTGGAAGGGTCTTCCTGTAAGATGCCTCAGAAGTGAATCCAATGGGATTTTTGGGTTGTCTTCCTGAGCAGAGTTACCTTCAGCTGGCTCTTCAGCTTCTGCTTAGTTACTGCACATCCACGTCGATGGTGACACAGGCGCTTCCCAAGCTGCCAGGTGTTGGAGGCTTCAGGTGATGTCCAGAGGGCTCAGCACCTCTGGGAACCTGTGGCATGCCTGGGTGGTTTCAGAGGTGATGGAGAGGTGTCTTGGTTAGAGCGTGGGGAGAGCCCCGACTGACGGTGACCTCTCTTCTGTGTGCAGAGATGGGATCCCCCCGTACAGAATTGGGAGCAAGAAGCAGCTCCAGCGGGAAATGCATCGGAGCGTCAAGGCCAACGGTCAAGTTTCTCTACCTCATTTTCCGGTAAGTTCAGGTGGGAGCCACAGGGTCTGGGCTGGCTGTGGGAAATGCTGGAACCAGGAATGGGCACGTGTGGAAGGAAGGGAGCAAGAGAGCATTTCCATCCCTACGTGGTACCAGGGAAGAGATGCTGCTTGGTGGTGGGCAGGAGCCACGTGCTGGCAGCATCCTTGCAAAAACCTGCTTGTGTACAGTCACATTTTGGTCCTTCCCTGAAAACCAGGTGCTAATTAAGGCTTTTCAGTGGCACTGAATTTGTCCTCCTGGTCTAAATCCAAGAAGGGATGCCCTGGTTTGGTCTAGTGAGAGCCTTGGCTCTGGCCACCTCCCTGACACCGGGGCTTGGCCTTCGAAAGCACATGTTCTGCAAGCTGGTGGGAAGCAGCATCTCCCAAAAGAGAGGGGTTTGCTGCAGATAGGTGCCGTGCTTTGAGGGGATCCTATCGGCGGTGTTGCCGTGCTCTCAAAAATTAACTTGCTGACTTGCTAATTCACTTGACTTGCAGACTCCCAATTCCTGCAGCGAATAAACTGTTTACACAGACAAGTATAAACTTATCTTGTCTTGAGATTAATACGCTGAAATTCCTCTTTCTGCTGTCTTAAGCAGCAAGAAATCAGAGAGATGATATTTCTGGTGTGTGTGGGGGGGTGGTTTATGTGGTTTTTCTTTTTGGTATTTTTTTTTTTTTTTTCCCCTTCCTCCCTAAAGAAAGTTCTATAGCCTGAGCTTGTAAATTAGATTATTTTGTCCCAGGGCGTGCAAATCGACTTTCTCTGTAAGGCAGTGCTTTGATCAGGGACTGAATAGAGCCAGCTTGTGTAAGAGTGACAATTTCCAGCAGAGTGGCCTTTTTCTACCCTCACATCATTTCTGGAGCTAAGTGGTTGCCGGAGAGAGGCCCCACCTCATCTGGTGGGTAGTATGTGAAAGAGTTGGCAGTTCAGCTTTCTGCTGTTGGGGGGGGGAGGAAAGGGAGAGAGAGGGAGAGCGGGGGCGAGGCGGGGGTGCTGGGGGTGGCAGGAGGGAGGGCACAGTCGGGTGGGGGGTTTCTTTTTCCTCTTTTTTTTTTTTCTTTTTTACCTCCCCTTTTGCCTGCCATGTTTGCTTCTTTTGGCAGAAATTCGCATTTTGCCTTTTTATATTCTGCACTTGATTTGGAGATGTTCCCTTTTTCCCTTGATAGATCTGCTTGAGGCAGCCAAGCTCAGCAGTGTAGCACCGCTAGCCTGCAGCAGCTTTCTTCATTTTCTGTACAAAGAGATGGAGGGGGGGGGAAGAGATCTAGGACACTGTTGAGACAACACTACCTCAAAGGTGCCCAGTGTGTAGCCAGGAAATAAATTACCAGCACTTCTCTGATCTGCAACCGTTTGACTTCTTTTTTTTTTTTTTTTTTCTTTTTTTTTTTTTTTTTTTTTCCCTTTTTTTCCCCCCCTTTTTTTTTTTTTT